CCAGGTGAACCCACTGCCCCCTCCTTAGCCCAAAGCCTGCTCTCCTCCTCCCCCTACTCTGCCCCTGCATGATGCTCTCCCTCTCTGGTCCCGCTGCAATGCACCAAGGACAGAAACCGAATGCCTCTTCAGGGTGGCCTTGCCTGCTTTCCCCCTAACGCTCACGTCTCTGGGGTCGCCCACAGGAGAATGGCTGCCGCAAGACTCTGAGTGCCGCCTCTGCATGTCTGTGACCACCCAGGCCAGGAACAGCAGCGAGCAGGCCATACCACAGGCACTGCTCCAGGCCTGTGTCAGCTCTTGGCTGGACAGGGAAAAGGTACAGGGCAGGCACATGGGGACTTGTGGTCAGCGCCTGTTCAAGGTGGAAGCCTGAGCCCAGGAAAGGCTTTGCAGCCAGAGACACATAGGATGGGCGAGAATGGAGTGCAGACAGGCAGGCAGGATGTAGGGCAGACAATGGTGGGACTGTAAGTTAGGGCAGAGCCTGTTAAGGGTTAGGAGTCGCCTCTGGACAAAGGGCTGTGGGCTCCAGAGACCAGCAGGCCCCCTTCAGGGGCTGAGTGAGCACCAGGCAAGCCTTCAGAGGCCTGGTTATCTACTAGGAAATGAGTAATGCCAGGGCCAGCTCGAGCCAGGAAAGGGACTGGCCTTCTCTCCAGGGTCCTGATCCCATTACTGCTCCCACACTCCTCAAGGTTTAACTCACTCAGGACAAACCCATCTGCAAAAGGAGAGGGTTGGGCTTGAAGGTCCTAGGGCCCCTGCCAATACTCAGTCAATGACAGGAAATCCCCTGCTTTTTTTTTTTTTTGAGACGGAGTTTTGTTCTTGTTGCCCAGGCTGGAGTGCAGTGGCGCAATCTTGGCTCACTGCAACCTCTGCCTCTGAGTTCAAGAGATTCTCTTGCCTCAGCCTCTCAAGTAGCTGGGATCACAGGCACGTGCTATCATGCTCGGCTAATTTTTGTATTTTTGGTAGAGACAAGGTTTCACCTTATTGGTCAGGCTGCTCTCAAACTCTTGACCTCAAGTGATCTGCCCGCCTTGGCCTCCCAAAGTGCTGGGTTTACAGGCGTGAGCCACTGCACCCAGACAGGAAATTCCCTTCTTAAAGCAAGATCCTGTCCTCAGGCAAGCCAGTTGATGCTCTTCCTAGGAGACAGCTGTCCACACTGTGCTCCCTGCTCAGCAACTCCCAAGCCTCCCCGCTGCCCATCACGTCTGGTATCAAGGACCAGATGAAAATTAAGGTTCCTTCTAGAACTGAAATGGAGGTGGAGGGAGGGGAGGGTGGTGGCTGAGATTCCACCCCTCTGCCTCAGTCCTCCGTCTCCAGCATCGCCTGCTTTTCTGATGGAAGTCCTCCATTTCAGCCAGCTCCAGTTTGTTAAGGGTTTTAACTGCAGCCAGAGCTGTTCAGTGAGGGCTGATGGAGGAGTCAGAAGGGAGCCCTAAAGTGATCCAGAGAAGTGGAGAGGCCAGGACCACACGACAGGAGAGTCCTGCAAAGGGCCCGGGTCCCCTCCACAGCTATGTGTCTCCTTCCTCAGTGCAAGCAATTTGTGGCTCAGCACACGCCCCAGCTGCTGACCCTGGTGTCCAGGGACTGGGATGCCCACACCACCTGCCAGGTACATCCACCCCTCCCAGTTGGTCCTAGGACTTCCCTCGGCTCCCAGAACCCCCACCCTTTGGGCCCGTGATCCTCAGAGGCCCCACTCCCCTGGGTCCAAGGTGGTCCCAGGTGCATAGGCCAGAGACTGGGAGGCACCCCTCACTGTTTCCATGTAGAAAATCATGACAGTATGGAAAAGGGGGATGGGAAGGGAGGGACCGCCTGAGGAGTGCGGCTGGATGTCCACTATGGGATGGGGCTGTGTTCCCTGGCCAGTGTGTGCTGGTGGGGTAGGGGTACAAAGTAGATGTTCTGGAGTTAAAATCTCACCTCCTCAGGCTCTAAACCCTAAGGTCTGTGGCTCAGGGAGTGACCCGAGGGGTCTCCAGAGTCACACTGGGAGCACCGCTAGGCGGGAGGTGGCGTGAGTGCTGTTCTTTTCCGGAACAGCTGAGTGTGGGGAGCCGAGGGGCCCCAGGCCTCAGCCCTGGTGCTGTCCCTGTGACAGGCTCTCGGGGTGTGTGGGACTACGTCCAGCCCTCTCCAGTGTATCCACAGCCCCGACCTCTGATGAGAACTCAGCTGTCCAGGTGAGTCCAGGTGAGTCCAGGCCCCCAGCTGCGGGGAGAGAAGGGGGCAGGTCCTGACCATCACGGCATGGGAGGCCCTTCTGCTCCCCAAGCAGGAAGAGGCGGCTACTCCTGTCGGCTGCTCCATCCTCCCTCTCACCACGCAGCTGGAGGCTCCTGAGGGCTTCTGGTGCGCCATCAGGAAAACGCCCTTTCCGGGACCCTGAGCACTCCCCTCCCCTAGAACCCTGGTAACCCCAACCCCCAGCTCCCCACCCACTTCCCCCACTCCCCTCCCCCTGCCCCGCCCTGTCCCAGGCCTCCCCCTCAGAGCTTGCCCCAGGGACTCTATGACCCTCAGGGTTCAATGTATTCCGACCAAGGCCAAGCTTTCCTGGGCTCAGAGAAAATCACACTTTGCTACCAAAGCTATCTCCCCTCAGATGCCAGGAAGGCCGTGATCATCTGACTCCACCCTCCTGAGGCACATTCTCTCCCTGACTGTCATGTTCTAAGTCAGAGGAGCACTTTAGGACGGAGGGGTGGAGGCAGGGCCAGATGCAGCCTCTGTGAACAGGTGCCTGGGGGCTGGGAAATGGCCCTGAGAGGGCAGGACACAGCCACCGTGGGCTTAAGGTGACCCTGAGCACAAGCTTGGTCCACTTTACAATTCTGTTCAGAGCCAGCCCCTAATATGGTGGTCATTTATTCATTCGTTCCCTCATTTTAAAAAATGTAAGGCCAGGCATGGTGGCTCACGCCTGTAATCCCAGCACTTTGGGAGGCCGAGGCAGGCGGATCACCTCAGGTCAGAAGTTCGAGATTAGCCTGGCCAACATGGCGAAACCCCGTCTATACTAAAAATATTTTTAAAAATTAGCTGAGCATGGTGGTGGGCGCTCGTAATCCCAGCTACTCAGGACGCTTAGGCAGGAGAATCACTTGAACCTGGGAGGCGGAGGTTGCAGTGTGCCGAGATCGTGCCACTGCACTCCAGCCTAGGCAACAGAGCACAACTCTGTTTCAGGAAAAGAAAAAAAAGGTATTTCTTTGCCGGGCAAAGTGGCTCACACCTGTAATCCCAGAACTTTGGGAGACCGAGGCGAGTGGATCACTTGAGGTCAGGAGTTCAAGACCAGCCTTACCAACATGACAAAACCCCATATCTACTAAAAAAGTAAAAAATTAGCCAGATGTGGTGGCACACACCTGTAATCCCAGCTACTTGGGAGGCTGAGGAGGAGAACTGCTTGAACCTGGGAGGCAGAGGTTGCAGTGAGCTGAGATCGTGCCACTGCACTCCAGCCTGGGCAATAGAGCGAGACTCCGTCTCAAAAAAAAAAAAAAAATGTAGTGAGTGCTTGTGGCCAGGCCATATCCTAGGGTAAGGGCCATGACTGAGCCCTGCCTTCCTGGAGTTCACAGCCAAGTCCACTTCTTCCATCTGAGGCGGGGGAGCCAGCCCTGTTCCTGAAACCCTGAATCACAAGCCCCTGTGGGAGGCAGTGGGGAGGGGAGGTCCTCCCCCACTCAGACCTGACCCACAGGAACCAGTTAAATGTGTCCTTGCCCCTCTGATGACAGCTGGGGACCTGGGGGTGGGGAGTCACCAGGAGCCGGGCAGTCACCTTTTCCCAGCTCCCAGGCTCCCGGCCTTCCCTGCTGAAACAGCAAGACCATCAGGTTGGCATGGGAGGCCTGGGCTTCAAACCCAACTCTGCTATCACCTGGCTGTGGGTCCCCAGGCAGGACACACGCACAGTCCCTCTCTGGTCCTCATCCTCCTCAGCTGCAAAGGAAGAGCCAAGTGAGATGGGCTCTGGGACCATGGTGACCAGGCTCTTCCCCCTGCTCCCTGGCCCTCGACAGCTGCCACACTGAAAAGAAGCCTCAGATCCCACACCACCCTCCTCGCCGCCCTTCCTCGGGAGTCACTTCCACTGGTGGACCACGGGCCCCCAGCCCTGTGTCAGCCTTGTCTGTCTCAGCTCAACACAGTCCGACGCCAGAGCCACTTCCATCCTCTCTGGTGTGAGGCACAGCAAGGGCAGCATCTGGAGGAGCTCTGCAGCCTCCACGCCTACCACAACCTCCCAGGGCTGGGCTCAGGAGAAACCAGCCACTGCTCCACAGGACAGGGAGTAGAAGCTGGGCCCTGCCTCACACCCACCCCCATGCACTCAAAGGCTGGCTTTTACAGCTATTTGTAATTCAAAATTCAGAAGAATAAAAAATGGGAACATATAGAACTCTAAAAGATAGACATCAGAAATTGTTAAGTTAAGCTTTTTAAAAAAAGCAGCAACTCCCCGGCGTGGTCGAGGGTGGACACTGCACACTCTGGCATGATGAGATGGCGACCAGGCAAGCTTTCTTCCTCGAGATGCTCTGCTGCTTGAAAGCTGTCGCTTTGTTAAGATATAAAAAGGGGTTTTCTTTTTGTCTTTCTGTAAGGTGGACTTCCAGTTTTTGATTGAAAGTCCTAGGGCGATTCTATTTCTGCTGTGATTTATCTGCTCAAAGCCCAGCTGGGGTTGTGCACACTAGGGACCCATTCCTGTGTAATACAGTGCTTGCACCAATGCTAATAAAGTCCTATTCTCTTGTATGAGAAAGAAAAAGACACCGTCCTTTAAAGTGCTGCAGTATGGCCGGATGTGGTGGCTCACACCTGTAATCCCAGCACCTTAGGAGGCCGAGGCAGGAGGATCACTTGAGGTCAGGAGTTCAAGACCAGCCTCACCAACATGGTGAAACCCCGTTTCTATTAGAAATACAAAAAATTAGCCGGGTGTGGTGGCGCGTGCCTGTAATCCCAGCTACTCAGAAGGCTGAGGCAGGAGAATCGCTTGAGCGCAGGAGAATCACTGGAGCCCAGGAGGCGGAGGTTGCAGTGAGCCGAGATCACACCATTGCACTCCAGCCTGGGTGACAGAGCAAGATTCCATCTCGGTAAATAAATACATAAAAAGTGCTGCAGTAGCTGTGGCCTCACCCTGAAGTCAGTAGGCCCGGGCCTACCTCACTCTCTCCCTTGGCAGAGAAGCAGGTGTCCACAGCTCCTCTTGCTCACAAGGGCTCCCAGCCTGCCCTCCGGCTGCTGCTCTCCCCTCCCAGTCTCTACTCAATGGGATGAGGTGAGGTCGTGAGGACACCAAAAATCTAAAAATAAACAAAAACCCAAATAAGCCTTAGCTTTTTTAAAGACTGAAAAGCCTCAAAGTGTCCCTTTATTTATAAAATAACTTTTGTCATATTTCTTACACATGTTTCTTGTAAGAAATTCAGAAACTACAGACAAAAAGAGAGTGGAAATTATCCACTGTCAGGCCTCTGAGCCCAAGCTAAGCCATCATATCCCCTGTGCCCTGCACTATACATCCAGATGGCTTGAAGCAACTGAAGATTCACAAAAGAAGTGAAAATAGCCAGTTCCTGCCTTAACTGATGACATTCCACCATTGTGATTTGTTCCCGCTCCACCCTAACTGATCAGTTGACTTTGTGACAATACACCCTCCCCACCCTTGCAATAATGAACCTTGTGATATTCCCCCACCCTTGCGAATGTACTTTGTACTATACACCCTCCCGACACTTAAGAAGGTACTTTGTAATATTCTCTCCGCCCTTGAGAATGTACTTTGTAAGATCCACCCCCTGCCCACAAAAAACTGCTCCTAATTCCACCGCCTATCCCAAACCTATAAGAACTAATGATAATCCCACCACCCTTTGCTGACTCTTTTTGGACTCAGCCCGCCTGCACCCAGGTGATTAAATAGCTTTATTGCAGGCTGGGTGCGATGGCTCACACTTGTAATCCCAGCACTTTGGTAGGCCAAAGCAGGTGGATCATGAGGTCAGGAGATCGAGACCATCCTGGCTAACACGGTGAAACCCTGTCTCTACTAAAAATACAAAAAATAAACCAGGCATGGTGGCAGGTGCCTGTAGTCCCAGCTACTCGGGAGGCTGAGGCAGGAGAATGGCGTGAACCTTGGAGGCGGAGCTTGAAGTGAGGCAAGATCGTGCCACTACACTCCAGCCTGGGCTACAGAGCGAGACTGTCTCAAAAAAAAAAAAAAGCTTTATTGCTCACACAAAGCCTGTTTGGTGTTCTCTTCACAGGGATGCGCGTGACACCCACAATCCCACCAAGCCCAGGAGAGAGCTATTGCAGGGTATATATTTTGACACTGAGCTTGGGGCTTTTTCAGTCCTCTCCCCGCAGCCTCTGGCTCCAAGCCTCCACGGTTCAAGCACCAGGAAGAGCTGTCTATGCAGCCTGCTCTTGGGCTAGGGATGAGACACACAACTCATTGGCTCCTGGATTTTAACTTTTAAGTAGACATTTGTAAACCTATAGCTAACTACTGCCTTTAATGCCATTGTTTCAATTATAAAATCCAACTCTCTGAGAGAAAAGGATGTTTTAAATTAAAAATTAAAATTAAAATTAAATTAAAAAATAAAAATTAAAAAGCTTGATTGGGACAATGAAGAGCCAATCTTTGAAGAAGGGGAGGCATTAATAGTTTATCCCAAAAACAGGAGTGGGAATGAGTGCCTGATAGTGAAAAAGGAGGCTTCACTCAAAAGGAGGTCAAGAGTCAACAGATTTTGGGAGGCTGAGGTAGGAGGATCACTTGAGTCCAGGAGTTCAAGACCAGCCTGGGCAACATGGCAAAACCCCATCTCTATAAAAAATACAAAAATTTGGCTGGGCACGGTGACTCACACCTGTAATCCCAGCACTTTGGGAGGCTGAGGTGGGTGGATCACTTGAGGTCAGGAGTTCGAGTCCAGCCTGACCAACATGGTGAAACCACATGTCTACTAAAAAAAATACAAAATTAGCTGGATGTGGTGGCACACACCTGTAATCCCAGCTACTCAGGAGGCTGAGACAGGAGAATTGCTTGAACCCGGGAGGCAGAGGTTGCAGTGAGCGGGGATTGCACCACTGCACTCCAGCCTGGGCAACAAGAGTAAAACTCAGTATAAAAAAAGAAAAAAAATAAAAGATACAAAAATTAGCTGGGCGTGATCGCATGTGTCTGTGGTCCCAGCTATTCAGGAGGCTGAGGTGGGAGGATTGCTTGAATCCAGGAGGTCGAGGCTGCAGTGAGCCGTGATGATGCCACTGCACTCCACCCTGGGCGACACAGAGAGATCCTATTTCAAAAACAAATAAATAATTTTTAAAAAGAGTTGACCGGCTGGTAGGAGGACAGAATTGACAGGAAGTGGCTACACTTGAGACTCCTAGGGTCCCTGAGAAGTGTCCAACATGCTGCACCCCTGCCCTTAGGAAGGCAGGGGAAGAGAAGTCCCAGGAGGGGAGTAGCCCAGGAGTAGCCCAAGAGGAGGGGACTTATTCTTCACTTTCCAGGGTGTGGGCTTCTAAGAGAAGCCTGCCTCTCACAGGACATCAGAAAGGGTGAGGACGCTAGCCTGAGGGATGGAGCTAGGCAGCTGGCCTGAGGTCTGCCTCACAGAGAGTGTCCCCAACATGATGTGGCTGCAGAAGAGCAACCTCAACCCACCGACCTACAGGCAGTCAGAATTGGCTCTAGACAAGATGGTGCGCCCGTAAGAGCCCATGGCTGGGGATGAATCTGTGACAGATTTAGTGGATCTTGAGATAAGCAGAAATCAGATGTGCAGCAATGATGGCACAAGAAGATGATGATCAGGCAAGATGAGAGACACTTCAGAGAAACCTGGACGGCCAGGGAATGCTTAGTCCCCAATGCCTCTTCTCACCACAGGGCAATCTGTAAATCATTACCAGGGAAAGGGGAAGGAGGATTCAGTGGTGAGTCAGCCAAGAGAGGCTGAGTATTAAGAAGGGAACGAGTTATTCCGAAATGGAAAGAATATGTTTTGAGGGCTCATGAGCCAAAATGAGTTCAGCTACAGAGAAATAAAGACTATTAGGCCGGGCGCGGTGGCTCACGCCTGTAATCCCAGCACTTTGGGAGGCCGAGGCGGGCGGATCACAAGGTCAGGAGATCGAGATCACGGTGAAACCCCGTCTCTACTAAAAATACAAAAAAATTAGCCGGGC